TTTAATATATCCAAGATTCTTTTAGATAAGTTTTAAAAACATTATAATTTTTAATATTTAGAAATAAATTAGAATACTTTATGTTATATTTTATTCTCAATAATAGATCGCTGTCAGAAAGAAAATATTCACGAAAAATAAGAAGCAAAAATCTTCGAGAGAGAGATTTTAAAACCTACTTGGGGTCTGACAGACTCCAAACGCAAAACTTTTCTTTAACCGGGTTATATATGTAATTTTATCACATATAGGTTAAAAACTAAAAATATGAATATATTATTACTATTTTATATCAATATAAATTTAAAATATATTGACTATTATAAAATATATTAGCTATTATAAAATATAAAACGATATACTATATTAATGTGCATAAAATATACATATAAGAAAATCAAATGTAGTACGACAAATGGCGCGCGCATAGCGCGCGTTTATAATGTCCTAGTTCGATTAAACTAAAGTTAGATTGTGTAAAATAAACCGTATTAATCGCATATTAATATTATTGTGTCGCGTTACAAAATAATTGAATTTTCGTTAGTACAGAAATTGTATTTAGACATGTAAGTATGTCATTCATTTTTATTTATTTTTAAAGGCTTATACGGATATTTTCCAACATAAAAGCGGAGGAAATCGTGTTAAAATCAATCGGGCAATCGCGAGCGCATCGAACTAGGCCAACTCTCGAAAAATATGCGACGTATATTAAACATTAAAAATAAAATAGCTGTTTTCTTCATTACTGTTAAGCAAATTAACATGAGGAGGATTCATTAAACATAGAGTGTTAATAATCTCTGCACTAATGCATCTGCGATAATCTAGAACGAGATTCTCGAATAGCTCACAATATAGGGGAACTTATTCAAAATTAAACAAAATGTACGATACTATATGAATAATATCGTGGGCAACTATCTACTTGACATATATTATTGCCGGTTTTGTGCTAGTTAGATCTTTCAATTTAGCGCTCCGCAATTCTATCTCGCAAACGATATTTCACGAATTGCAGTTTGACAGGAGATCGAAAAATTCTCCCACTTGTATGAAGATCGTAGAGCAAGCGGATGTCACGTTGCGTGTGATTCGATACGCGTTGCCTCACGAACAGAATAGAACAGATATTTTCTCGTTCATTCGTTCGTTCTTTCGTTCGTTCGTTCGTTCCTTCGTTCGTGAGATAATAACGTGCCAGCAGAGATGTCGCGTTATATACGCCCCTGCGTCTATCGCCCACCCCTAACGCATCGTGACTTCGCTCAGTAAAGGCAAGACTATTACTACTATAAAAGGCTGGATTAAATAGCAGAAGGGAAGAACCTTGGCTTCCAGAACATTGGATCAGCACGATGGTTATTTTTTTTTCCAGCTGGAGACACCTTCCACTATGTTATCTTCGGCTTCCCCTAACACTTCGTTCCTGTATAGTATCTCGTAAGACCAAAATGACCCGGTCATTATACGCGAATCGCTAAATACAGGGTGGGTATTATCAAATTGACGGAGTGCATAATATATAGAAATGCATGCCCGATATAAATAAATACTCATTTCTCTTGATAAGACTTGGATTTGTAATACGTTTGTTAATTCACAGATTGAACACACCGTGATTTTAAAATCTAATCTAATTGATAAATCTCATATATAAGACTTCTTAATTTTTGTTTCAAATTCAAATTTTAGAAATTTATTTATTAATAAATTGCTAATTAATTTCAAGATGTTTCTTAATTAATCTTTGATTTTAACGAAAACTTGACCAAGATTTTTTCGCAGCTTTCAGACTTTCGCGTATTTTATAAACACTTAATTAAAGTGATCTTAAAATAATATCTTAACTAGAAGTTAATAAAAAATATATAATAAACTATTATATATATATATACATACTATTTATTAGTTTTTTATACAATTCATATTTGAATTTCAAGGCTAGTGTAAGTAAACTTTGCAACTTCGTTCTCACTTAGATTTTCGCGAAAGGAAAGGTTGATCTACAAATTTGCCGAGCATATGCTTCTCAAGTTTGACGTAAACTTTATGAAACACCCCGTATACCGGGTAGGTCCCTCCCGGTGCCTCCAATTTGTTTTCTCATGAATACTTTTCTCCGATCCTGGCGACGGCGTGAATGCACCGTTCGCGCAGTCGCACTCGCAATAGATACAGACAACCGCCAGGAAAGTCTGCGAATTAAAATCTCAGGGTAAGCTTTTGCCACCCCTTCATTTCATACATCTTCCGTAATCATTTTTGTTTACATATTTGTGCAAAGAAACAAAGATTAAGATAATAAAAACATCTTCTAAAAGCGAGTAACTTAAATTAACGTAAAAAAATGCGGCTTTAATAAAATTTATAAACTTCACATATTTTATCACATATTTTATCATAATTTGTTAAAAATATATTTTTTTGTGCATAATAATATTTTGTAATCAAATATACAAATTATATATAGCAATAATATCGCGAAAGAAATATATGCATGCAATCCATAAACTTTAATTGAAAAAAATTTCTGATAATATAATTCAATTAAGCTTGTGTCACAGACGGCTAATTACGAATCGCAATGTAAGACAGATAATATCATGACAGATTGTATTCTTCTTCGTGCCATTTTAATGCTTTAATGCGACGATTAGATCACAGTTTTGACAGTTTTGATTACATAATCTGCCATTTGATTCAGAGAAATAAATAACTCAACAAAAGTTCAAATTTATCATTTATATAATTCAATTTAATTCTTTAGTTCAGAATTTAATCTGATACCGCACTATTGAAATTTGCAAGATCGCATCGAATAATAATTCTTCTCCATGTGTATCTCTGCAAAGACTAAAAAATTCGCCTGAAATCTTATACAAAGGATACATTCTCGTATTCCTCGTCGCATTTCGGGACATCTTGCGGACCATCGTCGTGCACCCTCTACAGAAACAGCCCTGCGCGGCAGCACGTTCTCCACCACCGCCGCTTTTACCACCCCCTCCGTACAACGGGGCTGTACATCGCGCGGGCATCGAAACGCGTCGAAACGCGAGGCGGCCGGATCGGACTGACTCGCGCGAATCGATCGGCGGCCCCGCGTCGTCGTCGTCGTCGTCATCGTCCTCTCACCCGCGACGGCGATTATAGCGGCGTGTCCGCGCGACGAGGAAGCGTGCAGCGCGTCGCACGCGACAGCACGCGTCGCGAAAACATCGAGAATTTCATCGTTGTCTTCATCGTCGTCGTCGTCGTCGTCTTCGTACAGTGCGGAAAGTCGTAAAGAAGCGCGAGGGCTCGAAAAACGAGAGGCTCTCGGTCTCGTCGAAAAGACGAGAATCGTGGAAGATTCAGCCGTCGACTTGCCGGCTCGAGATCGGACAGGCCAGATTTTCTCGCTGTGAAAAAAAAAAAAAGAGTGTGAGATTTCCTTGAAAAAGGATTGTGAGAAACGATAAAATCGACGAGAAATATTAAAATTCAGCGTCCGATAATCGGTGGCTGGCAACGAGTGTGCGCGTGTAATAGAAATCGGTGCTTTACCTAACTAATATACAAATTGGAGAGCAATTCAGAGAAGGAGAGAGGAGATTGGAAATTTTGGGAAACATATGCGAATGATTGGCTGTACGTGAATGTCCATATCTCCTGCAAATAAAAATCGTCGAGCAATCAATTACGCTTGTTAAGCAAAACGATTAACACTGTTTAAAAGGCTGAAAAACTGAACCAATCAATTCTAAATATCTTTTAAAAGTTTTTTTAAAAGGGAGCGAGCGCACGCGCGAGAGAGAGAAAGAGAATCAACGAGAGGATGAATACTACTCATATTTATCGCGCGCGGAAATTTTTGCTCTCTGTCAAAAAGTAAAATAATTCGCGCCATTGAAAAGCGAAACGCATTTGCCGCTGTTAAAAAATAAAGTCAGATTTATACAAGAGTAAATTTTTTCACCAACTCGTCCATCGCTTTCGAATATTTTGCCGTTTCTACGTGTGTTTTATATTGTAGAGTTTTTCCACATATACGCGCACCTTATACATTTTATATCCCCGACAGTGTCTTTTCCGCCAAAGTTCTCGAAATGATACGAGGGATGATTGATCACCGCGGAAATTGAGGGCCAGCACGATAATAACGTAAGGTATCGTGCGAGTATCGAAGTGCACGTCTCTCTAGCGATCTGTCATCGCCATTGTCGAATCGCCTAACGGCGGCCCTAAACCTACCTACCTATCTACCTACCTACCTACCTACCCCAAAGGGGTAATAGCCCCGGAGGGACGATAATCCCCGCAGAGAAAGGCGGGTGGCCTCTCTCTCTCTCTCTCGTCAAAACGCGTTGCGCCATTTCAGGTGCGAGCTTCGACGAGTGCTTTAGTGTGCTTCGGGGTGCGCTTCCTCGCACGAATTACAGGAAAGGCGAGGAAAGAAATTCAACGAACATCAAAAGACCCGGTGATTAATGAGGGCGGGTAATTAAGAAACATTAGGGAAGAGGCTGCCGAACGACTCGAGATCCTCGTACTATTCGGGGAGAGCGTGTCTCGCTCCCCGCCATCCCCGTCACCTCAAGAGGATCCTAGCCGGAGGACATCGCCGCGGGGTTGACGGTGGGAGCAGGCCGTCTACCTTCGAGGTAAGAGGGAGTGAGAGAAAGAGAGAGAGAGAGAGAGAGAGAGGGAGGGTGAAAGAGAAAGAGAGGGGATGGGAGGCCTTTAGGGGTGGAAAATCGTTGGAGAATACCGTCGCGGTGAAATCACTCCTCTCGAACGCTCGCGAGACGATCAGACCACGAAGCATCCCCTGCCAGGCCGTCCTTTTGCCTGCCTTCGCCCCCTCGCCTCGTTCGACTGAAAGTGGAGGAAGTGGCTGTCTGATCTCGGACGGAATGACAATAAGACTCCCTTTTGATTAATCGACGGAACAGAGAGAGAGAGAGAGAGAGAGAGAGAAAAAGAGAATTTGCAGCGCGTCGCACGCGACAGCACGCGTCGCGAAAACATCGAGAATTTCATCGTTGTCTTCATCGTCGTCGTCGTCGTCGTCTTCGTACAGTGCGGAAAGTCGTAAAGAAGCGCGAGGGCTCGAAAAACGAGAGGCTCTCGGTCTCGTCGAAAAGACGAGAATCGTGGAAGATTCAGCCGTCGACTTGCCGGCTCGAGATCGGACAGGCCAGATTTTCTCGCTGTGAAAAAAAAAAAAAGAGTGTGAGATTTCCTTGAAAAAGGATTGTGAGAAACGATAAAATCGACGAGAAATATTAAAATTCAGCGTCCGATAATCGGTGGCTGGCAACGGGTGTGCGCGTGTAATAGAAATCGGTGCTTTACCTAACTAATATACAAATTGGAGAGCAATTCAGAGAAGGAGAGAGGAGATTGGAAATTTTGGGAAACATATGCGAATGATTGGCTGTACGTGAATGTCCATATCTCCTGCAAATAAAAATCGTCGAGCAATCAATTACGCTTGTTAAGCAAAACGATTAACACTGTTTAAAAGGCTGAAAAACTGAACCAATCAATTCTAAATATCTTTTAAAAGTTTTTTTAAAAGGGAGCGAGCGCACGCGCGAGAGAGAGAAAGAGAATCAACGAGAGGATGAATACTACTCATATTTATCGCGCGCGGAAATTTTTGCTCTCTGTCAAAAAGTAAAATAATTCGCGCCATTGAAAAGCGAAACGCATTTGCCGCTGTTAAAAAATAAAGTCAGATTTATACAAGAGTAAATTTTTTCACCAACTCGTCCATCGCTTTCGAATATTTTGCCGTTTCTACGTGTGTTTTATATTGTAGAGTTTTTCCACATATACGCGCACCTTATACATTTTATATCCCCGACAGTGTCTTTTCCGCCAAAGTTCTCGAAATGATACGAGGGATGATTGATCACCGCGGAAATTGAGGGCCAGCACGATAATAACGTAAGGTATCGTGCGAGTATCGAAGTGCACGTCTCTCTAGCGATCTGTCATCGCCATTGTCGAATCGCCTAACGGCGGCCCTAAACCTACCTACCTATCTACCTACCTACCTACCTACCCCAAAGGGGTAATAGCCCCGGAGGGACGATAATCCCCGCAGAGAAAGGCGGGTGGCCTCTCTCTCTCTCTCTCGTCAAAACGCGTTGCGCCATTTCAGGTGCGAGCTTCGACGAGTGCTTTAGTGTGCTTCGGGGTGCGCTTCCTCGCACGAATTACAGGAAAGGCGAGGAAAGAAATTCAACGAACATCAAAAGACCCGGTGATTAATGAGCGCGGGTAATTAAAAAACATTAGGGAAGAGGCTGCCGAACGACTCGAGATCCTCGTACTATTCGGGGAGAGCGTGTCTCGCTCCCCGCCATCCCCGTCACCTCAAGAGGATCCTAGCCGGAGGACATCGCCGCGGGGTTGACGGTGGGAGCAGGCCGTCTACCTTCGAGGTAAGAGGGAGTGAGAGAAAGAGAGAGAGAGAGAGAGAGAGAGGGAGGGTGAAAGAGAAAGAGAGGGGATGGGAGGCCTTTAGGGGTGGAAAATCGTTGGAGAATACCGTCGCGGTGAAATCACTCCTCTCGAACGCTCGCGAGACGATCAGACCACGAAGCATCCCCTGCCAGGCCGTCCTTTTGCCTGCCTTCGCCCCCTCGCCTCGTTCGACTGAAAGTGGAGGAAGTGGCTGTCTGATCTCGGACGGAATGACAATAAGACTCCCTTTTGATTAATCGACGGAACAGAGAGAGAGAGAGAGAGAGAGAGAGAAAGAGAATTAGTCTTCCCATCGCGTTCGAAACGGTGGATTGTTTTGCAAGTGTTAAGAAGTTTCGGCTGCTTATAGAAGCGACTAAATGTAACTGTAACCGAGTAACTTGGGCGTAAATATAGCGATTTAAACGAGCGAGCGGCGTTTGAAATAGTTGCGTTGAAATACAGCTCTTCCTTACCAAGGTGTATGAGTGAACGCAAGATCATTAAAGTGAATTTAATAAAGATAGCGATAATAGAAAAAAGGATATACCAGTGGATCAACCTGTAAAGAACGTTTCAACATGCAAAAAAGGAACGCTCTCAAGTGCAGCGATTAATCGGGCGATTGTGATAAATGACCATCGATCCTTCCTTGACTCGAAGTGATTCTATTAATTCCTCTCGTTGCATCTCGAGACTTATTTCTCGGGGAGAGGGCGAACTTTTCAGACCCGTGGAAACGGAGGCGTATGCGACAATAACGCGAATGATTTCGGGGGGAGACGGGATATAAGTAGAGTGGATCGAAATTAGAATCGTGTGCAGCCAGTGGAAGAGGGTCGGCGCTTGATCAGGCGAGCCGGCCGGCCCCAGCCAAGCTGCACTACTGAAAGGAACTCGTTTGCTTAAGAAGATCTTTTACTGTACATATATATACGCGCACACACACACGTTTATATAACCAACGGTATCTCTATAAAATTGTGTATCACAATCATGAAAAAGGATATTCTCGACGAGTGTGTATCTCTATTCACGATGGAACGATAACGATAATAATAACACGTCAATGAAATTTGTAATAATCAATCACATATCATCGCAGGAGAAATATCGACGGAATTTCGATGCAGCTCGGATGTTTTTGTAATGTCCATCTTTATTTGAGCCGCCGCGCACGTCAATTTGAAACGCAACAGTGAGTAATCCCGATCTCCATGCATCTTTCTGGACGAATACCGGGATGAAATCGACAACGATAACCAAACGATAACAAATCACGGCGAAGGCAGCGAGAAAAATTGCGGAAAAGACGAAGAATTGAGGCGCGACATAAAAGCTATAGTTTACGAAGGACGAATTGGTGAAAAATAATGATAAAGGAATAACGTAAAACGATAAGCAAGCATGCAACGAGAAAAAGAGAACACAATTGTATGTAACAACGTGACTGAGGACAATAATGCTAAGAGAGGATAATCGAAGTCAATCACGTGAAAACATGAGCCGCTGTTGAACTTGATACCGTGACATAATCGAAAACGGCGATATTTTAGCAACGCATCGATCGGGACAGGATAAATATATAGCAACAGCGATAGACGAGACAACTTTGATATATCAAGTTAGTGCCGAAGGTTTGTGTCCATATAAATTCTTATAAAAAAAAAAAAGATGTTATTATTCCTTCTCTTTTATCAATTTTAATTAAAAAATACACATTTTTATTTTTTAAATTATTTTAATCACTTTTTAAATATAATTCGCAAACTCAAATCTTAATTATTAGCAAAAAATGATAACAAAAAGATTTTATTGTTTAATGATATTCTTTAATGCTTTATTTTTATCGATGCATAAAATTCTATATATATAACATATTATATACGTGTAACATGTATATAAATTAATAAAAAAAATTAATAAAATTAAGAAATAATATGTAAAGTGGAGAAAGAGAGAATCGTGGCAAACCTTTCGCACTGACTTGACAGTGATACGGTGCAACGGATTAAGAACGCGGTGAAAGAAGTGAAGATTTGTCGTCTAGGTATTTTCGATGTGCTCCGACAACGGGCGCTCGGACTTGAAGGATTCGCGCTCGAGTAGGTGAGCGTGCCCCGCGTGTTCGTCCCGCACGCAAGATCGGGACGAGTAGCCGGTGACGGGACGGGCTCTTCTCGGTCGTGGAATGACAATAAGGGGACAGCGTGCCCGCGGGGTGCTATCATGCGGAGGACGACGGATTTGAGCGGTGCGCCAGCGAGGTGTCCGGCGAAGGTGTCGCATCCCTTACGTGGGATGGCACTCGGGACATTGGCCGAGATTGCGGTGAGACTCGTGATTAGCGGCTACATATTCGCCGTGGTCGTCTACGTGAATGCCAGCGGCAACTGGGATAAGGACGATGACCTAGGTACGCGAATTTCTCTGACACGAACGATCGGGGGATTAACTGATTCGTCTGAATATACAGTGTCCCAGAATCACGTTGTTTATTCTTCCGATTATAAATTTCGTGTCCAATTTTTTTTTTCCGACTCACAGGAGTTTCGAGTGAGCCATCATTCTTGACGCGATCGGAGATCGCGATTGCCAGCGTCACGCATTTCTGTAACTCGAGAGGCTCGAGTTAAAATTCTGTTAAAGTAAAGTCCGCTTATAAAGTCCAACAATGAACATATTTATTTACTTATTGTTAGTAACAAAATAATGCTTATTAGTTAATTCTTAACGGGCTTCTACCTTAATAGAATTTTATTTCTGAAATTGAAGATATCTAAAGTTTAGTTTGCGAGAAGTTCTCCAATTGCTAATTACTCGAAAACTATCGATGTTTCGATAGTTTCGTTGAGGAAGTATCGACGAGTTAATCGAGAAGTATGTGGTTAAAAATTCATTCGGTGATTTTGGGATACTACACTCTTGGATGTATCATATTTTTATGAAAGAATGTAAACAAAGATATATATATGTAATAAAAAGTATGTCATACAAAAATTAAATATAAAAAATAAATATAAATGCAGATATATTTTTATAAGAATGCATTTAATATTAATTATAAAAAAAGAGAAAATTGAATAAAATAAAAAAAGATATTATTCTCATATTTCTGCAAAAATACCGAACAAGAGAGTAATTATAGCCAAGCTTGTTAGCGATTCTTACTTTCTTTTAGATTATAGTCATACAGTATTAACGAAGAAAGAGAATTTACTTAATAAAGTTATATCAGTCTTAATTTTGCTGGTAGCTTCGACTGCTGTGCACATTCAGTATATCCAGCATAGAAGCTCTATATAACTTTTTTATACGCAAAATGGAACCCAATGTGTATATGTATTTCATAAATGCATATTGAAAAGTGGAAAACTGACAAAGTCATGAGATTGAAAACTGTTAGAATAGATATTTATAAAGTTTTTTTTTTTTTTTTTTTTTTTAATGAAACTGGGTCGAAATGTGTAACAGCCAAGGTTGATCGCACTCTTAAAAACGTTATAGAATAATAAATAAGTTCCCGTTAGTGGCATGTGTAGACTTGATCAAAGTACGAAGCTTTCACATCTTATGAATTTATAATCTGCCTCTTACAGCGATACGTATAAAAATTTTTTAGTTATATTTTTTTCAGAATTTTTTTTTTTTCTTCATAATTATTCGAATATCCCTTGTCCTAAAGTTTTATTCGAACTTATTTCCATTTACACTCGCGCGTTGTCAATTCTCATTTATATCCTTGAAATACCTTCAGTATAAAAAAAAAAATGACACGCGTTTAAATAGATGGAACAGATAATAATCGCGCTGATACGAGAGAGAAAGATGCTAAAAAAAGATAAATGGTTCGTAGCATGTACATTTTTCATCGAAGCGTCACAAACAAACGTGAAAACGATATCCTGCCGGAAGAGTTCGTATTCGTGTTACAGACGTCGTTCGATTGATGAAAATTGCGGCGTATCGGAAAACGGGAAATCAGACGCAGCTTGTTGCGCGATCGGACCGGAAATCACTTAGAGCGTGAAACCTGCTCAAAGAAATGTTGCACAGCGTAATTATATTTCGTGCTGCACCGGGCGGAAATTCTCCATTATGCGCGAAAACGAACTTCATTAGTGATATTTTTCAAGCTGCTTTCCCGTCGCTTTATTCGAAGCAAAGAAAGCAAAGCGGCTTTCTTTTTATATCGCGAGACAGGACGCTTTCTCGCGTTCAAAAAACGGAATGTAAAATTGGAGAGAGAGAAACGACTTTTAAAATATCTGCGCATTCTTCATATGCGACTTCATTTTGCGAAATAAATATGTGAAATGATATTATATTTGTTTAGAAAATCCTCGATGATGTTGCTCCAACGTAATTAGAATCGCGCGCGACATAGTCCAAAGAATAAATTTAATTTCAATATTTTTCATCGCTAAATCTCTCTCTTTCTCTCTCGTCCACTTGAGAAATTTGTGCGTATTTGTCTTTGCATAATTTTACTTATAATATTTCTTACTAATTTAATAACTTTCTAAATCCTTTCATAACATGAAATCTAGCGTTACAGCTCATTTAACTTATTAACCATATAATTGAAAATTCACAAAATGTCACAAGTTATTAAATGTAAATAGTCTTTAAAATTACATTAAAGTTTAAAACTACATTATATTATGTAGTAGCTTTGCGCATTTGTTAAAATTATTAACTCAATTATTAAGCGACCTGTAATGTTAGCTTTTTCGTTCTAAGAAAACACAGGAGGTATTGTAAGTAAAATTATTCAAAGCATGTTGACGTTAATGAGATCTAGCCATGAAAGTACTAAAAGTCGTATTGTTGTTTACAGCAAATTTCAAAGAAAATGTTAAAAATCAGAAAGACCGACAAGACTTAATAACTCTTTAAATTCCCATTTTAGCTATTTAACTCAACATGCAACTAAAAAAAAAAAAATTATGACGCAAAAAAAAAATATTTCTGATTAATTGTAATTATTTATTACATTGCAAAGAAAATTCTTTCGTAAAAATATGATTGATTTTGTCGTGTTGAATGCCACGTAGAGTTCAGTCAACTTTGCAAGAACCTGAGTGAAAAGAGCATATGTCTAATGAATAAATAAACACGTACTTATAAAATATGCAATCTTTTTGATAGATAGACTCGGCTATCTCGATCTAATCAATTCTCTATCAGTTGAGTTTAGACATAAATCGATAAAGCACAAAGAGTCATTCGCCGACAACCATCGCAGTATTAATCATCCTTCTTTTATTCTCTCACAGTGTCCACGTCTAAAGTTAGCGCCGTACTTGGTCGTACTGCCACATTGCCTTGCGACATTGAGCCGTCCACGCGAGAAGATCGCGTCTACATGGTACTTTGGTTCCGTGATTATGCGGTGAAACCCATTTACAGGTAAACATAATCTTACAATGTATCGTGATCTATTAAAAAAAAAAGTTGTGAGAAACCAAGCGAAAAAAAACCTGTCTGTTTCTAGGAATTAATGTAATCGGTAATATCCTGTGTGTACAGAGTAAAAATAGATATATTATCGCATACCTCTAATCAGTCACATCTTAATTATTAGCGAAGAATATTTCTTAAAATATTCAAGCACGATGGTATACGTAAAAAACAATAGAATTCCGCCATGCAGTAACTTAATGCCATCTATTTAAATCGGGCACGAACTTATGCAATCACCTGATAAAAATGGCATGAGAGAAATGCGCGAATTATACGACTCTTTCCAGTTTTGACGTGCGGGGCCGGTCTTTTAACAAGGCCCTGAACTGGTCAGACAGCACTGCCGTAGGTCCCAGGGCCTACTTCGTCACCGTGACGAAACCCGCGGCTCAATCATTAAAAATGGAGAACGAAAAGGTGCATTTGCGGCATGTAATGTTATATGAATTTCGGAAAGGCGTGAGTGTTGGGATTGCACAAAAAAATATTCAAACCGTTTATTTGGACCGCGCTCCTGCTCTCCGAACAGTTAAAAAGTGGTTTGGCAGATTTCGAAATGGTGATTTTAACATGGAGGATCAACCCCGCTCTGGACGGCTTTCTGGCATTGATGATGACATTGTGCATGTCTTAGTGGAAAGAAACCCAAGGATTACAACTGAGGATATTGCTGAGAGGCTGAACATCGATAATTCAACCGCTTTTCGTCATTTAAAAAAGCTTGGATACGTTTCCAAGCTTGATACATGGGTGCCGTATCTCCTGACTGAAAGGAATAAGCTAAACCGTATGGCTGTGGCTCTTTCTCTTCTCGAGCGTAACAAAAAAGAACCTTTTTTAGATCGAATGGTAACAGGCGATGAAAAGTGGATTCTCTACAAAAACGTATAGCGAAAGAGGACATGGAAAACAGCAGCTGAAGGAGCAGAACCCGTAGCAAAGGCTGGCTTGCATCCGATGAAGGTGTTGCTGTGTGTTTGGTGGGATCGCAAGGGAATTATTTACTTTGAGCTGCTCCGACGCGGCGAAACAATCACAGCGGACAAGTACTGTGAGCAACTAACTAGACTCGCTGCAGCTATTCGAGAAAAACGTCCGATTTTGGCCAATCGAAAAGGCGTCATCTTCCACCACGACAATGCTAGGCCACACGTCGCTCAACAGACGCTGCGAAAACTGCAGGAGTTGCAAGGGGAAATTCTACAGCACCTGCCATATTCTCCAGATATTGCGCCTTCAGATTTTTATCTGTTCCGGTCTTTGCAGAATAGTTTAAATGGCAAGAATCTCAATTCCGAGGAAGCTGTCGAAAACCACCTTACAAACTTTTTTCAAGAAAAAACAAGTTCTTTCTTCAAAAATGGAATCGACAAGCTTATAGATCGTTGGAAAACCATTGTAGAAAAGAATGGAGACTATATAATTGATTAATAAAAGTGTTATCTCTAAAATATAATCTATTGAAGTTTATATTTAAATCGGGCACGAACTTATGCAATCACCTGATATTACTGACATTTTTGGTCCTAATAATCTATGGGCTGCTAATATGAGTGACTTCGACATTTTAAGATCGATTATGAGTATAGAATGGTTCGATCAGACATTCAAGTCTAACAATGTTTTTGTTTTGGACCGAGGATTTGATCGAATAAAGAATGCTCTCGAAAATAAAGTTTTTCGAGTTGAGATAACGTACAATTCTTCAAAAGGAAAAAACAATTCTTTAGCAAGCAAGCGAATATATCGAGGCGATGTACCAAAGTTCGATGGATTGTTGAATGCGTCAACAGAAAACTTAAAGAGAATAAATATCTTGCTCGAACATTACCCATCGAATGCGTTCCGCATTTATTAATTGATACCAGGATAGAGTGAGTTTCGATTGCGCACATTACCGATCGGACACGACAATATTTCCCAATCGGACACAGACCCAATCGGACACAGGCTCGATCGGACACAGTCCCGATCGGACACAGGCTCGATCGGACACAGTCCCGATCGGACACAGGCTCGATCGGACACAGTCCCGATCGGACACAGGCTCGATCGGACACAGTCCCGATCGGACACAGGCTCGATCGGACACAGTCCCGATCGGACACAGGCTCGATCGGACACAGTCCCGATCGGACACAGGCTCGATCGGACACAGTCCCGATCGGACACAGGCTCGATCGGACACAGTCCCGATCGGACACAGGCTCGATCGGACACAGTCCCGATCGGACACAGGCTCGATCGGACACAGTCCCGATCGGACACAGGCTCGATCGGACACAGTCCCGATCGGACACAGGCTCGATCGGACACAGTCCCGATCGGACACAGGCTCGATCGGACACAGTCCCGATCGGACACAGGCTCGATCGGACACAGTCCCGATCGGACACAGGCTCGATCGGACACAGTCCCGATCGGACACAGGCTCGATCGGACACAGTCCCGATCGGACACAGGCTCGATCGGACACAGTCCCGATCGGACACAGGCTCGATCGGACACAGTCCCGATCGGACACAGGCTCGATCGGACACAGTCCCGATCGGACACAGGCTCGATCGGACACAGTCCCGATCGGACACAGGCTCGATCGGACACAGTCCCGATCGGACACAGGCTCGATCGGACACAGTCCCGATCGGACACAGGCTCGATCGGACACAGTCCCGATCGGACACAGGCTCGATCGGACACAGTCCCGATCGGACACAGGCTCGATCGGACACAGTCCCGATCGGACACAGGCTCGATCGGACACAGTCCCGATCGGACACAGGCTCGATCGGACACAGTCCCGATCGGACACAGGCTCGATCGGACACAGACCCAATCGAACACAATTCCGATCGGACACATATGGTTGCAATTGGACACAAGTCGATCGGACACAGGCCCGATCGGACACAGGCTTGATCGGACACAAACCCGATCGGACACAGTCCCCATCGCGAAGCTAGGGCCACCCTACAATTGTTGTGTGGATGAGAAAAAGTATGCGTGGACACAGTGGGTTCCGCCCCCCCCCCTACGGGGGGGCTCCACTATCAACAAACTAGACACATAGGTTTGCGTTGAACCTCGCTTCGCGTGGAAAGTTGTAAACCTATGTGGAACCTTACTACGCATTAAAAAGTATATGCGTGGAGGCAGTATGTTCCGTTTCGACGTCTGGCCACCTTGTCGTGGTGAAAGGGCTTCCCTGAAGCTTCCTGCGCGAGCAGGAAGTGGAAGGGATCTAAGAGCCAGCCTAGGAGAAGGAAAACTCCGAAACAAACCCAGTGTGTCGACACCGTTAGTAGGAGTGTACGCGATCCTACATCGGCCGGGGAGTTCACCCTAATTAACAAACCGGAGGCCGTTCCGTGAGGTAGACTTGGTCTATCAATGGCAACCTAAGGGCTGGGTGGGTTTTTGGGGTATTGGGTGGGTTGGGTGTATTTGTCCCTGGCATACGAAGAGGGCCTCCAATGATCTCCCAGAGCGATGCCGGTAGATTCAATCATCCCGGTAAGGTCTGGGAAGTAGGAGCCATAATGTATGCCTAGAGAGTAGTGCTCCTTGAATTACCAGGTATATAAATATGAAACCGGAATTTTTGTATAGAAAATACACGTTTATTGTATGAAAATGATAAAAAATATTTTATTCAAAGTATTGCCCATTGCTAGCTATACATTTTTCCCATCTCTCTGACAATTTGTGGAT